AAGCCATTAACTTTTGTGCCCAAGGGCCCTTTCCTGGTTTAATGATATATTAAGTTAAGCAGGTGTACAGGTAACATGTATACACCATAATCAGATTGATAAATAGCTTGTGTTTTGGTTTTTAGTGGGGTTTTTTGCTGCTCGTTTTTTTTTTTTTTTTTTTTTTTTTTTTTTTTTTTTTTTGTACCAGGCATTGATCTCAGGTCCTTGCACTTGGGAGGCAGGCGGTAGAATCACTGAGCTAAATCCCCAGCCCTGTGTGTGTGTGTGTGTGTGTGTGTGTTTTAACTATGGCTCCTAAGTGAGCTCCACACTGTATAAGCCTTGTGTGGGTCACAGTGCCCCTCCCAGCTAACCTTGAGCGCCACTCATAACACATGATGAGGACATCTTGATGGGGCAGGATGTGAGGACACTGGCAGGAAGAATTCGTGACGAGCGGGACTTGCGTTCGAGGGATGGGTGACGAGGACTTGAAGATCTCCTTGACATCCACCACAGTTGTGACTTCATTGCAGCCACTCCGCTGCACAGCTTTGATTTTGGCATGAATAACTACAATTTAAAAATCCACGTAAGAATTGTTGAAGCCTTTGGGGAATAATTAAGACAGGTATATTGGAGCCAAATCTTGAGCTGCTCTTAAAGAATCACTCCTGTAATTACGGTCAGGTCAAAGCAGTCCCAATGCAGGCAAAAAGCCCACACAGTCATAGGCTAAATGCAAAACATTCCATATTGTCAACATTGTCTTAGAAGTTCTGAATCACACTACAGGATGCAAAAGCTTTGCCTTGAGGTCAGTAGAAATTTCAGAGAAACATTTATTTATTTCTGCATTCCCTTGTGATGATTTGGAGTGAAGATCACCTATTCTCAGATTCTGAAGTCATTGTAATGTTTGCTTTCCCTCAACTACTCCTCTGATGCTTGACCTTATTCAGCTTAACTGAAAAAGTTACTAGCGCCATAACATTTTCAAACTGCAAGGAATCTCTGAGGACTGCTGTTCTCAATCCTTTAATTTCCCAGACTGACAGAGGAAGGCCTGGGATGAACTGTTATTACAGATGGCTGTTCACATCACTGTCTTTGATCAGGTTTTAAATTCTGGCCTCTCTGGTTCCTTGCTATTATTCCTGCCTCCTGTGGACTTGTAATTAGCCTAATACAGGACTGTCTTGAATCCCATCCAGAAGCTGACTTATGGAGGAGTCCAAAGCACTTGAAAAGAAAAATGTTTCATTTTCAAGGTGGCCACAAAGCTGTGACAGCCCAGAGACTAGGTTGGGGTAGGAACTCTGACAACACTTAGGGCTGTTTCTGGGTAGATGAGGGACTATGTACACCCGATTATGACAATCTTCATACAGGACAGGTTTCAAGAGGAAAAGCTCCTGAAAAACATAATGTACTTATTCTGCTGTTGAATTATCCACACTGGCTTTGTAGGATTCTCCAAACTGACCATTCTGGTATGGGTCATTTTTTCAGATTTCTGTACCGTTGTGATTTTCCTACTATCATGTGTGATATAGAATCTAAATTTTCTTACTGATAAAAATTGCGCTTCGACATATGAAAGCTAAGCTAGCAAATACACTGAATGCAGTCCCCCAAAACAGTTTTCTGTTATTTGAGCAGAACTAATTGAAGCAATGCCAAAAAATAGAAAATAGGCCAAGTAGAATAAAAAGAATTTTTAAAGAATGTATTTTTAGTTAAATGTACTTCCAAAGGAAGACAGAAGAATTAAAATTATTTAAAATATCATGGTTAACTTTTTTCTTCGAATAAAGTGCTGAATGGTTCTTTCAAACAAGAGAAGAGGGCATTTATTTTGATACTGCGGCCATAGGTTTTGTGATTAACATAATTTCTTTGGGATGTTAAATATTTGTAGCTATGTATAACAAAAGATAAACAGGCTGATCTTGATTCTCTGGGCCTTAGATCATCAAGGCCACAGACTTCCAGCTATAGGAAGAGGTTAAAAGAAGAATAAGGGGGGTCGGGGATGTAGCTCAGTGGCACTGCACCTGCCTGGCAAGCACAAGGTCCGAAGTTCCATCCCTGGTACTCAAGAGAAAAAGAAGAAGAATAAAGGAGATTTACCCTTTACTAACAGCACTTCTAAGATAACTGGAGCAAGAATTTTAAATCTGATCCATGTAACTGCTGTCACCTGGGTCATTTACTTCATTTTTACTTGCTTCAGAGAAACAAGATCTCTTACAATTATTACTGTGCTATCTAGAGGCTAAGTCATCAGTTAGAAAAAGCATCAGCTTCATTTCCTTGTGCCCAGTCCCCAGAGTGAACGCTGGGTGCGATGGCTCACCGTAGCTGTAGTTCTTGCTCAGGTACGTCGCCAAAGTTGGCTTCACTTTTTTACACTTGCACCGATCTAAAAAATGGCAAAGGTAAATAAGAAGTTGGCAAGGAGACAGAAGTCACTGCAGGGAAGAGTAGGAGAGGGAGGGATAGAGGCGGAACTCACCAGGACTGAGGCGTTTGCAGTCCACATCCAGGGGCATCTCTTGCACCATCATATCTGGGGTGAGGTCCAACCACTTGGCGTCTGAAACACACATATGGTCACATGGTTTGGCGAGCAAGTGGGGCTTTTGCCCAACTGAAATAAGGAACTATCTGACAATCGCACGAAAGAACAGTACTAAGGAGTAAAAACAGCATTGATGGTCAACTACTTCCTCCAGAAGGACATCCCCGGGCTAAGAAGTCTTTCAGGTGACACTTTACCTCCCCAAGCACAAAGTGATGTGACTGCGAGCCCACTTAATCCACCTGCATACACTGCATCATTCTCTTCCAAAGCCATGTTACAACATTGATTTTCCAAGGCAGGTGGCAGCTTTACTTTGTTTTTTGAGACAGGGGTCTTGCTATGTAGTTCAGGCTGGCCTCAGACTCATGGCGATCCTCTTGCCTCACCCTCCCGAATGCTACCATGGCGTGCACTACCATGCCCGGCTCTCCATGTGATAGTTTAACTGAAACAAACAGAATATTTTGAAGTCCCTTACTCACATTTTGCAGACAAAAAAAAGTTCCCAGCTGCATAACTGACACCAAGCACTACTGGGTGGTGGCATATGCCTGGAACCTCAGCACTCTGGGAAGCTGAAGCAGGAAGATCATAAGTTCCAGCCCAGCCTGGATAACTTAGTGAGACTTTGTCTCCAAGAAAAAAAAAAAGTGTGTGTGTGTGTGTGTGTGTGTGTGTGTGTGTGTGTGTGTGTAGGATGTAAGGATGCAGCTCCGTGAGAAGGCCCCTGGGTTCAATCTCCCTTAAACAATCAATATATGTTTTTAAACTCCAAATTAGAGAAGAATTTCCATTTGCCTCTCCACTTCGCTGCTCCTTGTTCATGGCTGGAGACGGCCTAGAGATCAACACATTATCACCTACTCTGAACGGCCTGATTCAGGGAGAGCTTGGGTAAAAGAATGCAGACCTAGACTAAGGTTTAATTTCAAGAAGTGAATTTGGTCCTGCTTCTTCCAACAAAAGCAGCAAACTGGCCAAAGAGAAAGGAGGGAGGTAAAGAAGCCGACCCCGATCTTCGCTAAGATGCCACAGTCCTCAGCTCCTAGTCAGTAACCAGGAGAACATTTCCCAGGGCTCCTGTATCCACAAACCTCACACCCAGGTGGGTTAGGGAGGGACCATGTCTGCCCTTTCAGACCTTTCGAGGAGCAGCTAGATGATTAACCCCTGCCTGGTGGGATTAATTTAAGAATTAAACGAGTCACCCCATGTAACAGGCCTAACACTATACACACACACACACACACACACACACACACACACACACACGTATCTGCGACTATTATCTGTTATAATTGTAAATAAAAACGTTGACAGTGGCTCCCTTGCAACCAAAATTGACTGATTGACTGACTGTGATACTGAGGATGAAATCCAGGGCCTTTGTACTGAGCTACATCTTCATCTCTATATTAAAGACATAGTCTCACTAACTTGCTTCACTGCCCAGGCTGGACTCTATCCTGCGGTTCTCCTGTCTCAACTTCCCAGAGCGCTGGGAGTGAGCACTTTTTTTTTTCCTTCCATGGGGCATCCTGGTGTTCCTTACCACTAAAAAGTCCCTCACAGTGCTCTTCCCCAGCCCTTCCACTCCTCCAAGCCTGGGAAGTGAACCGTCCAAGGGGCTCGCAGGTGGCAGCCCCAGCCCCTGGCAGCACCTCCTGCCGCCCTCCACGCCTCACCCTCCGGGAGGTCGGTGACAATGGCCTCGGGCGAGATGCACACGCCGCGGTCGTAGACGGGCAGCTCGTCGCAGGCCAGGCTCTCTGGCCAGCTGTGGTTGTAGAGGTTCATGAGCGGCTCGCAGCCGTCTCGCGCACGCTGGCAGACGGACTTGCAGGGCTTGATGGGGTCGTGCAGGAACTCGAGCGCGCAGATGGGCGCGTACATGGCACAGAGGAAGAAGCGCAGCACAGCGCTGCAATTGGCGTCCACCAGCTCCTCGTACTGCTCGATGGCCAGCACGGCGTTCTCCTGCGTGCTGTGGTGCAGGTGGTTGGGCATCCGCGTGAGGTTCCAGGGCATCGAGCGGCACATGGGGATGCGCACAGCCTCGCAAGGAGCGCCGCGCACGCCTGGCGCCAGGCGCAACCAAAGGAGCAGCGCGGCGAGGACGCAGGGG